GCTTTGAGAGCATCAAGTTTTAAAATGTAACATGGTATATTTTCAAAATCAACATAATTTAAAACATCTCTTATCGAAGCAATATTATCTGAAATATCACGACCAGGAATACATGACTGATCTGGAGAGATAATAGTATTAATAATACTTCTAAGTCTTGTCGAATCGTTATGCAGTCTTCGGTTTTATTGGAAAAGTGGGTTTGACCTATAGGGTAAAGCTATTTTGAGTAATATTTTTGTTATTATAATATTAAATGAAAATTACAATTGTAAATATACTACTGTAACATAATGCACTATGGACGGGAGGCCTTGAACACTGAATAATGTTACTATTATTATTACTTGTATTTCAAAAATTCGATTTGGTTTTCATTTCAATAATTCTTATGTGCCTAGGGGTCTTTAGCAGTGGGAGAAAAGGGGTTGAACAGGCGACCCTACTTCTTGTCACGTACTAACGGGGAATCGAAACCGCGCCACTTGAACTAATGACAGACAATGGCAGACATTGTGATCTTTCGGACACACGTTAAATCATACCACTCCAAACAAAAACCTATATGTATATTAGTCTGTAAATATCAATGATGTTCCTGATAATATTCCCATTAGACCGATAATATTCCCATTAGACCGATACTTATCCCATTAGACCGATAATATTCCCATTAGACCGATAATATTCCCATTAGACCGATACTTATCCCATTAGACCGATAATATTCCCATTAGACCGATAATATTCCCATTAGACCGATTCTATTCTCATTAGACCGATACTATTCCCATTTGACCGATTCTATTCCCATTAGACCGATAATATCTTCATTAGACCTATTGTATTCCCATTAGACCGATAAAGAATATCCCGTTTTCCTTTATAAAGAAGATTCCGTTTCACCCTGAGTGAATAGAACATACAGTCCATTAGCTATGCTACAATCATATTCAACAAGCGATTCAGTACAATTGTGATTCATATACAAGGCATTAGAAGTAAAAAACAGTTGTTAATAATTTCAACTTTACATGATCACTATAATCTAATATCATTTCTCGATGGAGGAGATCAAATAACTAACAAATTCTGTTCGTTCATTCGTTCGTTCTTAAGGCTTAACGACATCTTCCACCTTGAATGATATCGCAGACAAACACGTTTTGTGTTGAACTTTGGTTTAATACAGTGTAGTTGGACTAAGGCTAGTGGAATGTAGTCCAATGTAGTGCGAGTTATAAATATACAATTTTTCCCTTAATCCCCCCCCCCCCTTCCTGCAATTTCTGGTTGACTTTTTGGTCTAGAATTGGAAAAAGGGATCAAATTTGCAATTTCATAGGGTATTACAGCGGGGGTGTAAAGTGTCTTTCTGCAGAGCAATCGTTGTGTCGGAAGTGAGATTATCACCCCAGTCAACATTAAATGGTCAATCCTCTAAAAAATTATGACAAGAAGATTGCCAAATGTGCCTATAAAGATGGGAACCAACGGAATGTTGAGCAAAAAGCTACAGTCTGTGATGTTACAGCCATTTAAAATTGAAGTCAATGGACAATTAATTGGTTGTCTGGAACCAGATAAATGGTAGAGTTATCTCTCTTTACATTTCAAATTTCATTAACCACGCCCATGCATAGATAAAACCATTGACACTCAAATTGTATTTTTTTTCATATCTATATCATTTAGTTACATATATCGCAAACTCCCAAACACTGATTTGAAAAAAAAAAGAATTCAATTCGTACATTTATCCCAAACTTACACTTTTGTGGAGCAAAGTAATAACTTGTTTTATTCTACTTTTCATTTTGCATGCAACACACGTATTCGAAAAGTGAATTTATGTTGCTCGTCTAAATATCCTTTCGGTATTTTCTCCAACTCTTGAAGACTAATAATATCTTTCCAATCAAATCGTTGACTGGAATCAAACACAGTTGTTACCTCCTTGTTTATCGCATGATTTTTTCTATTCAAAAGCTCAATTTTTAATGATATTTTAACAGGTAATTTGCAATCCTTCCATTTGTCTAAGACGAGTCCAAGACAGAGCATTGAGTTAGTAAAGTAAGCAGTTCTCCACCACGTCATTCCATCCTTTGTTATCACCGTGCTTTCGCCACAATAATGTATCTTGTTGCCGTTCAGTGTAAACTTCAAAATGGCGTCTCCTGACCTCGATAACACGCTTTGGTCGACTGATTTGTCGGCTGATTTTTTAATGGTGTCTTTATTTGGTGGATCACATTTATTGACACTAACGTGACCAATTTGTCTGGTGAGATCAGGAATATTTTTTTCGCCTTCTTGAAAAAAACTTATATTTGGTACAGGAACAATGAGGTCCAATTGACCATTGTCGATCTCACATAGGAGTTCTTGTTTTAAATCTAATAATTCGGATACACTTTTGTGGTCTACACCATCTGTTAATTCTTTTAAAATATGCTTGGGTCGTGTTGATAATTCATTGGCCAATGATTCTAAGCTCCCCATCTCCTTCTCGGCCTGACCATGGCTTTGCGTTACTCCGTCCTTCATTCCACGGCCAATTTGGCGAAGAGCTGCACAAAGTTTATCCACTCTCTTATCAATCCTGGTACATATCTGTGAAGTTTGTGTCTCGATCTCTTTCTTCTGATGCTGGATGGATTCTGAATATTGTTGGTATTTCAATAAGGTTTTCTCTAACTCACCTCTCAATGCTTGGATCTCCATCTTTATCTCGAGTTTAAAATCGTTTAAATCACTGACCGAGTGACCATTGTGATCAGCTATTAAACATTTATAACACATGGATACACTACACTGTTTACAATATAGATCTATTTCTTTCATGTGATAACTACACATCCTACTTTCACTTTCATTATCTTTAACGGTGGACACGTTTCCACATATGGCGTCTGTAGATTCACTCACCTCTGTTTGATGCGAGAGATAAAAATTAGTAGTAAATTGTTCAGGAATCCTGATGACTTTACGACAAATAGGACACGTAAAATAGCCGTTCTCAGGGTTGTTTGAAATGTAATCATCCAGACAGGTTTTACAAAATGTATGAAAACAGTCAATTATTTTTGGATTTTTAAAATCACACAAACATATACTACACTCCATCTTGGTCGCCATTTCCACACACGAAATATTCCTCGCTTCACTAACGTATAAGCAATCAACACAAATCTTGGTCGCTATTTTCTACCTTAGACATATTTCTCGCTAAATTCGATAAATGCAAGCCTATACTCAGGTAAACCTTATAGTGTTCACAAGTCCATATCGTTATAAACCCAGCAATATTTGTTATACAGGTAAAGAGAATTCTATCTTAACACGTGACGTGTACCATATTGACTATACAGTTAAACGATGTCAATTTAAACACACCCACCCACCAACCATTAAAAAATGTTTAAAATTAAAAGGAAAAGGAGAACAACGTCATATAGACCTATAACCATGTCTATATATAGCATATGCATTCAAACGGCGCATATCATATGGAGTGAAATGTTAATGTTAAGTTGGTCAATAGGAGCTGCTTGTTAATTCAGTTCAACTGATTGAGATCCTTAGTACAACAAGCCAACAGTGAGGCTGATGTCCCCCGCCGAAATAGCAAAATAATTAGATGACACGTATTAATTAATAGAACATTTATTTTTTTCAAAAGTATCGAACAGTTAAACTATAGACTAAGTTTCATCACTGTCTATCAAATAGAATCAAGATTATGAAACTGATAAGCTCTGCTTGGCTTCAGCTCGAAATGTTAATCATTGAACTTAGTCAAGACATTCACCTAATGAACATCTACATCAAGTTTAAACATTCTACCTCAATTAAAAGCAGAGTTATTATGTTCCAAAGTCTTGACCAATCAATTAAATTGCTTATTGCTCCTTAGCCTTAGCAGAAAATTTTCACCATCGAACTTAGTCAAGGTAATGATATAATGAATCTATATTCGGAGTTTCATCTCTCTCAAAGTTATCATGCCCCAAAGCATCAACCAATCAGATTGCTTATCTCTGCTTACCGTAAGCATACAATGTTCATCATTGAACTCCATCAAGGCATTCACCTAATGAAAGCCTACACCAAGTTTGAACATTCTACATCAATTAGAATGTGAATTATTGTGTTCCAATGTCTCGACCAATCAAATTGCTTATCGCTCTGCTTAGCCTGAGTAGAAAATGCTCATGATTGAACTTAGTCAAGGTATTGATGTAATGAAACTATAGACCAAGTTTCATCAATCTCACTTAATTAGAACTAAAGTTATCGTGTCCCAAAGCATCAACCAATCAAATTGCTTATCTCTGCTTACCCTAAGCGGAAAATGCTCATCTTCGAACTCCATCAAGGCATTGACCTAATCAACACATACACCAAGTTTGAACATTCTAGCTCAATTAGGCAGAGAGTTATCGTGCCCCAAAGTATCAACCAATCAAATTGCTTATCTCTGCTTACCCTAAGCGGAAAATGCTCATCTTCGAACTCCATCAAGGCATTGACCTAATAAACACATACACCAAGTTTGAACATTCTAGCTCAATTAAAAGTTATCGTGTCCCAAAGCATCAACCAATCAAATTGCTTATCTCTGCTTACCCTAAGCGGAAAATGCTCATCTTCGAACTCCATCAAGGCATTGACCTAATCAACACATACACCAAGTTTGAACATTCTAGCCCAATTAGGAAGAGAGTTATCGTGTCCCAAAGCATCAACCAATCAAATTGCTTATCTCTGCTTACCCTAAGCGGAAAATGCTCATCTTCGAACTCCATCAAGGCATTGACCTAATAAACACATACACCAAGTTTGAACATTCTAGCTCAATTAGGAAGAGAGTTATTGTGTCCCAAAAAGTGTGACGGACAGACAGACGGACAGACAGACGGACAGACAGACAGACAGACAGACGGACGAACCCATTTTAATAGTCCCCTGCTTTCTTCGAAAGGCGGGGGACAACAACGTAGTGGTACGTTAATGAAGCGAGGAATATTTCGTGTGTGGAAATGGCGACCAAGATGGAGTGTAGTATATGTTTGTGTGATTTTACAAATCCAAAAATAATTGACTGTTTTCATACATTTTGTAAAACCTGTCTGGATGATTACATTTCAAACAAATCTGAGAACGGCCATTTTCCTTGTCCTATTTGTCGTAAAGTTATCAGGATTCCTGAACAATTTACTACTAATTTTTATCTCTCGCATCAAACAGAGGTGAGTGAATCTACAGACGCCATATGTGGAAACGTGTCCACCGTTAAAGATAATGAAAGTGAAAGTAGGATGTGTAGTAATCACATGAAAGAAATAGATCTATATTGTAAACGGTGTAGTGTATCCATATGTTATAAATGTTTTATAGCTGATCACAATGGTCACTCGGTCAGTGATTTAAACGATTTTAAACTCGAGATAAAGATGGAGATCCAATCACTGAGAGGGGAGCTAGAGAACACCTTACTGAAATACGAACAATTTTCAGAATCCATCCAGCATCAGAAGAAAGAGATCGAGACACAAACTTCACAGATATGTACCAGGATTGATAAAAGAGTGGATAAACTTAGTGCAGCTCTTCGCAATATCGGGAATACAATGAAAGACGAGGTTAGGCAAAATCATCGCCAGGAAGAAACTAAGATGACGAGCATAGACACAGAAACAAAGAACCTTTTAAAAGAAATATCAGATGATGTAGACCATATCGGGTTATCACAATTATTGGTTTTAAAAACGAAACTTCTACAGGAGATTGAAAATGGTAAACATGAGCTCATCCTTCCAGAACCCAACATACTTTTGTTTCAAGAAGGTGAAATGAACAAAATACAACTAACTAACCAACTTGGTCAAATAAAGACAGGAATGAAGAAAAATCACACAAAGATAGCAAGCAAACATAACTTGTCAAATTCGGGGGCTGCAAACGGAGACAACTTGTCAAACTCAGAAGTGGCCATACAAAAGGCATGCATTTTCCTTTTTAATTTAGATCACGGAAAGCAAATACAGTATATCGGAAACTCGGATGTTAAATATGGTGGATTATCTTGGTGGTCGTCTGCATTTTTTCGTAACAACAAACTGTTTTTACAGTTCGAGTTAAAAGTTCTCGATTCCTTTAATGGATCATTGCCATCTAAAATATTAATTAAACTGGAACTGTTAAACAATCGAAATCAAAAGTTAAACAAAATAAAACAGTCGATGATTCAGCGAAGCAAAACATATAATTGGGAGGATGTAATTAGCATGAACGAACTGGGGAACCCTTCTCTTGGATATGTAGATGGCCAAGGTGTTTTCACATTTCAATTAGTTGTATTAAATGTAATGCCATAGTAGACTGTTTGATTCATGGAGTCATCTCCCGACACTCGCCATTGCCAGTGAAAATTATTTTATTTTAAAATTAGCTTGAATAATTTACTTGTCAAATATGGCTAACTTGCTGTAATAATTTTGTTGTTAAATTAATCTCACAACTATGGAAATTAAATGAATTTATATAGGCCCCAATACATTTGTTATAACATGTTGTCGTCATCCCTGTCCGTCAGTCCACATTTCGTATAACCGATGTGCTTTAATTTAGCTGTATTGACTGGACTGGTAATGCTCATAACCACTTGAACGCATATGCTTTTAACAAGCCAATGTAACATTCCACTTGGAGAATTACATTTGGTTCAAGTTATAATATTATTGACACATGCAAGTCTTAAAACTGTAGCACTATCGTCGTTGCGACATTGTTTTTAAATTTATAGACAAGGAATAGAGAAATAAGATGGGTTAAACAACATTATTTATCTTTACAAATTATTCTCTATTGTCAGTATATTAAGGTATGAGTTTATTTAAAACGCAAATTAACTGTTTATGAAATAGCGTGAGAATAACAGGAAAGAGGGTCTGATTTCAAGGATAGATTGTGTCGAGAAACATGTGACGGAAAATTACGATTGCATCATTTAGCTTGTTTGACCAATCTCTATACTTATTTACAAGATATTTGACCAATTAGATAATTGAACGTCCAAAACCCACAGCTACAAAACTATAATACTTGTGAGAATTCGTTAGACTTCTATTAGGTTCCAGAGAGCTTACATCTGAGTTCCTAGACAGCCGCGAGGCTGGCTAGGGTAGAGAAATGGTTTTAACTAGTATTGTTATCTATTATGCTTGTATACCTGTATTCAGCTATATATATATATAAAATGTAGAAGCAAACTGTTGCATTGTTATTCCTGGTAAGACAAACGTCTTAAGAAACTGTAAGAAGTAAATACACAACGTGAAGCAGAAGTAAAGACAGCTAGAGACAAATTCTAGACGATCACAAGGCTACAGAAATATGTAGTAAGAAAAGATGCATGGGTCGTATGTAGGATGTGGCGACCGGTTTCCCATAGACGCTCTCCACGTCAGACAGAAGGCTCATGGTGCTACAAAACTGGGTTGGCGTATTCATTAATCCAGTCAGAGCAGAACAGTAGGAAGTTAAAAACCCGTTTCATTTTATGTTCATCTTGGGTTAAGCAGCTTAAATGGAGTTGCTGGTGATGCACAAGACTATTGTTTGACCTTCTTACTAAATGAAATGAAATACGGTGTAACGTCCTAATTTTCTGCACCGACTGGGCTATTGACGACGTTAAACTCCATTTCATTTCATTTCTGTATATTTATTTATCCCATTTTATGTGAAATACGCGGTGGAGATTTTTGCAAGTACTTCAGAATTTCCACCTTGTCTCAACTGTCATTGGATTTTTTATGTCCTTTTGAACTGTCAGTATGTACACGGGACCTCGGTTTTTCGTGTCATCCGAATGACTAGACAGCTGTCCTTGCCAGGCCCTCCGTCCTGCATCACTGACAAGGGGGAACCACGCCGGAAAATCTGGATGAACTTTCTCGGCCAATGCAGGGATCGAACACCCGACCTCCAGGCTAGCGAGCCAGCGCCTTACCCTCTTAGCCATCGTGATCCCCATGTAAATACGTATTAAGATAAAAAAAAATCTCTCTATGTGCATAATAAATAAAGGTGATGTGAAGTGCATATTCTGTCATTATTACGTGGTTTATAACCATATCGAATTGTGGTGAAAAGTTAGGTAAACGCAGGTGTTACAACGATCAATTTACCTGAGTATAGGCTTGTATGTATCGAATGAGGCGAGATATATTTCTAGTGTAGAAAATGACGACAATGGTTTGTGTTGATTGATTATATTACAAACATATATAATTATTGTTTTATATTGAATGGTTTGGATCAGTAAATGTTGAGTGTGCTAAAGAAGTAATTTGCCGATTTCTGCTGACTGCTTATTTTACAACCATGTGGAATTTTTGTTTTATCGATTAAACCTTGACTAGAAAAGGTAATATGTTGCAATTATCGAATGTTGTTCATAGGTTAGTTCGCATCAACGTAATATAGTTGTACATTCGCGAGGCGCTATATATTTCCTGTGTAGAAAATGGCGACCAAGATGGAGTGTAGCATATGTTAATATTTATAGACATAGTAGATATATAGTGAAGCGAGAAAAATATTTCTTGTGTAGAAAATGGCGACCAAGATGGAGTGTAGTATATGTTTGTGTGAGTTTACAAATCCAAAAATAATTGACTTTTCATACATTTTGTAAAACTTGTCTGGATGATTACATTTCAAACAAATCTGAGAACGGACATTTTCCTTGTCCTATTTGTCGTAAAGTCATCAGGATTCCTGAACAATTGGCTACAAATTTTTACCTATCACAAGAAACAGAGGTGAATGGATCTACCGACGCCATATGTGGAAACGTGTCCACCATTCCTGATGATAAAAACGAAAGTAAAAGTAGGATTTGTAGTAATAACATGAAAGAAATAGATCTATATTGTAAACAGTGTAGTGTATCCATGTGTTATAAATGTTTAATAGCTGATCACAATGGTCACTCGGTCAGTGATTTAAACGATTTTAAACTCGAGATAAAGATGGAGATCCAAGCATTGAGAGGTGAGTTAGAGAAAACCTTACTGAAATACCAACAATATTCTGAATCCATCCAGCATCAGAAGAAAGAGATCGAGACACAAACTTCACGGATCTGTACCAGGATTGATAAGAGAGTGGATAAACTTTGTGCAGCTCTTCGCCAAATTGGCCGTGGAATGAAGGACGGAGTAACGCAAAGCCATGGTCAGGCCGAGAAGGAGATGGGGAGCTTAGAATCATTGGCTAATGAATTATCAACACGACCCAAGCATATTTTAAAAGAATTAACAGATGGTGTAGACCACAAAAGTGTATTCGAATTATTAGATTTAAAACAAGAACTCCTATGTGAGATCGACAATGGTCAATTGGACCTCATTGTTCCTGTACCAAATATAAGTTTTTTTCAAGAAGGCGAAAAAAATATTACTGATCTCACCAGACAAATTGGTCACGTTAGTGTCAATAAATGTGATCCACCAAATAAAGACACCATTAAAAAATCAGCCGACAAATCAGTCGACCAAAGCGTGTTATCGAGGTCAGGAGACGCCATTTTGAAGTTTACACTGAACGGCAACAAGATACATTATTGTGGCGAAAGCACGGTGATAACAAAGGATGGAATGACGTGGTGGAGAACTGCTTACTTTTCTAACTCAATGCTCTGTCTTGGACTCGTCTTAGACAAATGGAAGGATTGCAAATTACCTGTTAAAATATCATTAAAAATTGAGCTTTTGAATAGAAAAAATCATGCGATAAACAAGGAGGTAACAACTGTGTTTGATTCCAGTCAACCATTTATTGGAAAGATATTATTAGTTTTCAAGAGTTGGAAAAAATACCGAAAGGATATTTAGACGAGCAGCATAAATTCACTTTTCGATTACGTGTGTTGCATGCAAAATGAAAAGTAGAATAAAACAAGTTATTACTTTGCTCCACAAAAGTGTAAGTTTGGGATATATGTACGAATTGAATTCTTTTTTTTTCAAATCAGTGTTTGGGAGTTTGCGATATATGTAACTAAATGATATAGATATGAAAAAAAATACAATTTGAGTGTCAATGGTTTTATCTATGCATGGGCGTGGTTAATGAAATTTGAAATGTAAAGAGAGATAACTCTACCATTTATCTGGTTCCAGACTACCAATTAATTGTCCATTGACTTCAATGTTAAATGGCTGTAACATCACAGACTGTAGCTTTTTGCTCAACATTCCGTTGGTTCCCATCGTTATAGGCACATTTGGCAATCTTCTTGTCATAATTTTGTAGGGGATTGACCATTTAATGTTGACTGGGGTGATAATCTCACTTCCGACACAACGATTGCTCTGCAGAAAGACACTTTACACCCCCTATCACCCCCGCTGTAATACCCTATGAAATTGCAAATTTGATCCCTTTTTCCAATTCTAGACCAAAACGTCAACAAGAAATTGCAGAAAGGGGGGGGATTAAGGGAAAAATTGTATATTTATAACTCGCACTACATTGGACTACATTCCACTAGCCTTAGTCCAACTACACTGTATTAAACCAAAGTTCAACACAAAACGTGTTTGTCTGCGATATCATTCAAGGTGGAAGATGTCGTTAAGCCTCAAGAACGAACGAATGAACGAACAGAATTTGTTAGTTATTTGATCTCCTCCATCGAGAAATGATATTAGATTATAGTGATCATGTAAAGTTGAAATTATTAACAACTGGTTTTTACTTCTAATGCCTTGTATATGAATCACAATTGTACTGAATCGCTTGTTGAATATGATTGTAGCATAGCTAATGGACTGTATGTTCTATTCACTCAGGGTGAAACGGAATCTTCTTTATAAAGGAAAACGGGATATTCTTTATCCGTCTAATGGGAATACAATAGGTCTAATGAAGATATTATCGGTCTAATGGGAATAGAATCGGTCAAATGGGAATAGTATCGGTCTAATGAGAATAGAATCGGTCTAATGAGAATAGAATCGGTCTAATGGGAGTAGTATCGGTCTAATGGGAATATTATCGGTCTAATGGGAATAGTATCGGTCTAATGGGAGTAGTATCGGTCTAATGGGAATATTATCGGTCTAATGGGAATAGTATCGGTCTAATGGGAATAGTATCGGACTAATGGGAATATTATCGGTCTAATGGGAATATTATCAGGAACATCATTGATATTTACAGACTAATATACATATAGGTTTTTGTTTGGAGGGGTATGATTTAACGTGTGTCCGAAAGATCACAATGTCTGCCATTGTCTGTCATTAGTTCAAGTGGCGCGGTTTCGATTCCCCGTTAGTACGTGACAAGAAGTAGGGTCGCCTGTTCAACCCCTTTTCTCCCACTGCTAAAGACCCCTAGGCACATAAGAATTATTGAAATGAAAACCAAATCGAATTTTTGAAATACAAGTAATAATAATAGTAACATTATTCAGTGTTCAAGGCCTCCCGTCCATAGTGCATTATGTTACAGTAGTATATTTACAATTGTAATTTTCATTTAATATTATAATAACAAAAATATTACTCAAAATAGTTTTACCCTATAGGTCAAACCCACTTTTCCAATAAAACCGAAGACTGCATAACGATTCGACAAGCAGTTGCTGAGATCTAATCAAAATCGAAATATAATAATAAGAAGAAGAATAACAATCTCAACAAAAACAATAGTGCTTCACACAAGCTACGCAGTATGAAACCCTAATAATAATCTTAACAAAAACAGCAGTGTGAAACCCTAATAATCTTAACAAAAACAACAGTGTTTCAAACCATAATTAATATTATAATAACAAAATGATTATACTGTACAGTTAGAACAGAATTGAAATATTATTTCACATTATAATAATAACATATCCAAATTGATATGCCTCAAAATATATATATTTAATAAACCATAGTATTTTGAAATTATTTCAAATATTCTATCTTTAATTGTAACTAAATATTAATCTCATTCCATTATACATGTATATAAATTTAGCCAGTTTATTACAATCAGTATCAATCAATAAAATTATCTTTTCTCAAATGACCATATAAATTAACAACAAGGAAATGAAGTTCATCTTAGTAGTAATTTTTGTATGATATAATTAAACAATATTTACATACTTTATCATTTTAATTCATGTTCTGCCATCTACCTGACTCAATAGCTAAATTGTGATTACTACAACGAAATCTAGACAAGGCTATTCTATATTTATTTAAATAAACGTTTAAGTATTTTTCGGGTTCTAGTAAAGATTTGTACTGGCAATAATTAACTAGTTCAAATTAAACCATATGTTAGTCCCTAAAAAGACTAGGTTGTGTCGAGTGGATGCTAAACCCCATCCCTCCCTCGCCATGTAGATTTACATTATGGTCACACATATAGTAATATGGTGACAGGGAAGCACCAGGATGTCCGATATAACCAGCCCATTGAGCTACAGGGCTAGTGGTGTACTTAACGTACCGATGAATTCAAGGTTCAGGCACTTAATGCTTACATGTATTAATTAAGAATTTGAACAGCTTAAGCTCCTGTATATTCGAATATCTGAGATATGCGATATACATTAACTATCCTATGTCTGCGAAATATGATATACATTAACTATCATACACTCCACTATCTGAGATATATGATATACATTAACTATCATACACTCCACTATCTGAGATATATGATATACATTTACTATCATACACTCAAATATCTGTATGATATATATTTACTATCATACACTCCAATATCTGGGATATATGATATACATTTACTATCATACACTCAAATATCTGTATGATATATATTTACTATCTTACACTCAGTATCTGAGATATATGATATACATTTACTATCATACATTCTAATATCTGAGATATATGATATACATATTTTACATCAGACCGTAATATTGGATATACTTCATTTTAACGGTGCGGAAAAAAAGTCACAGTAAAAAGTCACAAATTTGCCTAGTTAAAAAAAACACAGGAAAAAAAGTCACAGTTTTTTATTACTTCTCAAATTCAATAACAATATAAACAATAACATACATATTTAACCTTTCATTACATATATGTTCATTACACAGATGTAACCAGACTGTTTTAGTCTTTAGAAATCAGCAAATTTTGATATCATAGCACATTTGACGTATTAGCACATATGGCATATCAGCACATCTGACATTTTAATACATTATAGCACATTTGACATATCAGTACATCAGACATTTTAGCACATTCTAGCTCATTCAACATTCTAGCGCATCAATACTCTTTGTTAATTCTAATGTTCCATCCAACTCCATGTAAGAATTCTGGGATGGATTTGGCACCGCTGACACGATCTCTGCAAAGATTTCATAGTTGTGTCTGCATCTTTACAAACCTCTTCTTGACCTTCCTGACAGGTGGATTTCCGATGGCATCCTTGGCGACGACAGTCTGGACTGTGGCTGATTCCTTCTGGAACCACTCCACCACTCTCCAGATGGATGGATGGTGTTGGCCGACAAGATTGTAGAACTTGTTGTTCCATCCCTCGCAGATGTTGACACAGGGGGCACTGTTCATGGATGCGTCATGTACGTTCCAAACTTCAGGAGGGAACATGGCAACAGATCAACTCACAGCACTGATCAAAGAGCCAATCTGTTTGTATAGTGTTTGCAGCAACCTCTCTATTAACCAAACCTAATTAACTCAAAGACAAATAACTTAAAAGATCAAAGATATACTCACTCTACAATACAATATATATAAGTTGTGACTTTTTACCTGTGTTTTTTTTACTGTGACTTTTTTACCTGTGACTTATTTTCCTATGATATACAGGTATATGATATACATTAAGTAACAGAATCCTGTACTCAAAAATACACACAATGACGTGTTCAAATCATTTATCATCTGAATCCTTAACAAATCCATTATTTTCAACAATCTTAGCAAAACATAACGCCGATGGTTTAGCGGTTCTAGTCTTTTCATCACTAGTAAAATCAACATGAAACAATCCGAACTTCTCCTGATAACCATTCCAGTAAAAACCATCAATGAGAGACCAATATGTGTAACCTCTAACATCTATACCATCTAAACAAATAGCTGAAATAAAAACATAAATAATCTACTACCATTGACTAATGAACCTTAATGAAATTATTTCTCAAACTAAACAAGTGTTCATTATTCTATACTTGTGATTCTCAACCAGTGTGCCGAGTCTCCCTAAGGGTTCCGCGTAATTTTGAACGGCACACTAAGAAAATGCGAAAAGCCACGTGATCCCGATTGAGTATTCACAGGTGTCTACTGATAAGTTCATAGCTGTGTATTTCTTTATTTAGTTTGGGTCATTCTATGTGTCTATGACTAGTTTCTGTCTATGGTTGTATGCCGTCTGACTTGCCATGTTTTTATTTTGAAAATTTCTAATATTTTTCATATTAGCCAGATGTGCCTCTATTTTTTCATGTGTTCCAATGTGTGCCGTTGTAAAAAAAAAGGGTTGAGAACCACTGGGTTAGAAATTATACGTTAATAATAACACCTATAACCATTGAATACACACAGCCAACCAATAGTGATATACATACATGTAATTCATACGTCACGGTTTTGACCCCCCTATAACACCTAGTTAATGACTACTGCCTAATTACTAACAATTTTAACTAACTAATAAACATTATGCATATAAAATGACGACTTAGATCTACCTGTACCATATATTTTCATTTATAACTTTAACAGTGTTTTGTTCATTAGTCATTTATATTAACTTTACAGTATTAATTAACATTAGATTTTTTTTTGTAGTTTTAACGGAGACAGTCATAGTTTGCAAACACCCTTTATGGACACAAACATGTGGGTGAAATAATCGGGTCTAACGCACAATTGTAGCACAAATTAGACATTTCCTCGATTCTGATTGTTCGAAAATTGTGGTCGAATGGACAATAAACCCCCTCTAAATTTGCAAGGCGAATTACTGCGTATAAATATAACAGTGTACGTTTTTTTTAACTGGTCTTTCCAAATCTATAATTAGTACACTGGTGAGAACTAGAGGGTCATTGGTGGCATGTTAAAATTTATCCGCAAATTGGTAGGGCCCTGTTTCTCGAAATCTCAACCAAAGATAAAATCCGAATTTTATGATGATGAGTTAGTTGTATTTTACGTCCGCTTCCACCGAGGTGATATCGCAGACATATCCGAATTTTAGTAGATACTCCAGTTTTGATTGGCTAAGCACAAAAATCATTTTAAAATTATCCAATCAAATTACTAAAATTTGGATTTTATCTTCGTTAAAATGTAGTGAAACAGGCCCCTGGGCAGTATCGAATATCTTAGTGAAGCAGTACCATGGTATAAGAGGGTGTATCCCTGTATTATAAATCTACCTGCCTTTCAATATATCATTTGTATTATCTTGGATATATTTTATTCTCTTCTGGTCATCACCGACATCGCCATTATCTGATATACCATTAGCCGTCACATAAATAGGTATATCACCAAATCTATCTTTGATCTTATTTAGAGTAGGTCGTAGACCTCCAGGAACTATCTTTAACCAATCACTTGCACAACTGTAAATACCATTAAACAAGGTGCTTAAAAAATAAATAGGGAGTCGAGATGGCTCCGCTAATGCGACACTGGCTTGCTACCCAGGGTGTCATGGGTTCGACCACGCTATTGGCCTAGACAGTTCGACGGTTATTGGGGGAGGGGGGGCACATAAATGGAAACCGCAGTGGCTCGGGTTCGCTCCTGGTACTGACCGAGAAACTTTTCCGAGAAGCTTTTCCGGTGTGATTTTCTCTTGTCGGTGGTGCCGGGTGTAGGGTCTGTCAAGGAAAATATCTGGTCGTACGGGTGGGACTTTGCGTGCATGTAAAATGATCAGTTGATAGATGGAATTCGATATAAGAGTAGGACGTAGTGCCGCTGCTCAGGCAAAATTTCCCTCATAGCACCCTGTATGGCGTCTTCATTAACCTAACCGGGACAGAAAAGTAAGACGTTAAACCCCAGAACATAAATACGATAAAACATGGTGTTTGTTGGTGATGGCTAGAACATAAATACGATAAAACATGGTGTTTGTTGGTGATGGCTAGAACATAAATACGATAAAACATGGTGTTTGTTGGTGATGGCTAGAACATAAATACGATAAAACATGGTGTTTGTTGGTGATGGCTAGAACATAAATACGATAAAACATGGTGTTTGTTGGTGATGGCTAGAAAATAAATACGATAAAACATGGTGTTTGTTGGTGATGGCTAGAACATAAATACGATAAAACATGGTGTTTGTTGGTGATGGCTAGAACATAAATACGATAAAACATGGTGTTTGTTGGTGATGGCTAGAAAATAAATACGATAAAACATGGTGTTTGTTGGTGATGGCTAGAACATAAATACGATTAAACAAGTTATTGTGGGAGATGGGTAGAACATAAATACGATACAACAAGGTGTTTGTGGGTATATATATAATATATATATATATATATATATGTGTGTGAATATTGGCTAGTTAAAAGAATGTCATATGGGAAATGTTCAGCTTAACGCACATACAGCATTTTTGATTGACAGTTTGTCATCAAATGATTGATTACCTACCTTTCCCATTTTGGATCAAACTTTGAACATACGCCTTTGTCGTTCTTTAACGAGGTTACATTGTCATGTGTTTGTTCTAATGCTGAAATTATCTCCCCTGTCCAGTAGGTAATTCCATAAAAATCTGCTGATCCTAAGTAAAAGAAATTATTTTTTAACAATGATTTAAAATAAAATAAATAAAAAATATTGAGCCAATGAGTAGCTAGGGTCGGTGCCTACACCTGTTAGTTTTCTCCAGGGTATCTGGTTCCCGACAGAGGTAACCATATCGTGCCAGGTTCCCGACAGCGGTAACCATATCATACCTGGTTCCCGACAGAGGTAACCATATCATACCTGGTTCCCGACACCGGTAACCATATCCTACCTGGTTCCCGACAGAGGTAACCATATGATGCCTGGTTCCCGACACCAGTAACCATATCCTACCTGGTTCCCGACAGAGGTAACCATATGATGCCTGGTTCCCGACACCAGTAACCATATCATACCTGGTTCCGGACAGAGGTAACCATATCATACCTGGTTCCCGACACCAATAACCATATCATACCTGGTTCCCGTCAACAGTAACCATATCATACCTAGCTTCCGACAGCGTTAACTATAGCATGCCCGGTAAGAGCATGGTAATAAAAGCAGTCAGTGGGCCAGTTATCCCACTGTATAGTAGTCATTGGATAAGTTATTTCAAGGACGTGAGAATAATAGTTGTCTCAAGGCTTGGCAATAGTAGCCATTGGCTAAGTTTTTGCAATTCATTGCAATAATAGTTGTCTAAAAGCAATAAATAATACCACATACTTATGGAAGAACAATAACTGATTTATTTACTCGACGTTTCGAAGTGTATTCTCTCAATGTCTTCGAAGCTTGAGAACATTGGGCGAAGACTTTTCGAAACGTCGACTAAATAAATAAGTAATTGTTCTTCCATAATGTATTGTTCTATTCAGTTACTAAATTCCCCTAAAAGATTGTCTCAAAGCATGGTAATAATAGTAGAAAAGGGATACCACCTTTGTTCATTTGTTTCTCGCTTTCTGTGAATTCAGGAAGTCTAGAAGACTCTAGCCCAGATTCCCTGCTTTTGATTTCAACCCTTTTCTTTACGACGTCCGGATAATCACCAGTTTTAAATATTGGATCTCCCAACCAGCCGAAATTAAATTCATCATTTATTTTGTAGGCTTCTTGATCTTGAATATTGCTGGGATCTGACATTATCGACCACTTCACTTCCAGAGATAGTCCAATTTGACCTGCAATATGTGTGCCATGATACAGACGGAAACGAACACATATGATCCATCCAGGTTTTAAAATATCAAGGTCGATTCCATCCAGTATTACCCTGTGATTTACAATCATCGTCAGCAACTTGTGTGTGATTCTACTTGCAAACTAATAGTTCACAAGGTTGTACTCTTGTGGTTTACTTTTATTGGCTAGGTAGGACTATCACACAATGTACAAATGAAATGGGGTTTAACGTCCCACTGTTTTGCTCCAAACTGGGCTAATGAAGAATGGCATACGTCATATGAGGGAAATTTGCCCGGACAGCGGCACTATGGCCTACTCTTATATTGAATTCCAACTGTCATGGGATCTTTTACGTGCACGCCAATGTGTACACGGGCCCTCGGTTTATCTTCACATCCGAAAGGCTAGATAGCTGTCCTTGTCAGGCCCTCCGTCCTGCATCACTGACACGGAAAATCTGGATGAACTTTCTCGGCCAATGCAGGGATCGAACACCCGACCTCCAGGCTAGCGAGCCAGCGTCTTACCCACCGTTACCCCCTCCCCCCCCCCCCACACACACACACAAAATGTACAAAACAACAAGCGTAAATACAAGTATTTGAGAGGAAGGAGTAGATACGAGTAGAAACACGACATCTCGGGCGAATGGTACAAAAAAATACATATATCCTTAATATTATCGCACAATGTATTAGCAAAATGAAATGGGATTTAACGTCCTAGTATTCTGTAACTTGGAGGTCTCGTGTTCGTTCCCTGCCCTGGCTAAGAAAGTTCATCACGATTGTCCTTAATGGTGCTGCCTTGTCAGTGGTGTAGGGTGGACTGGCAAGGGTCAACCGATAGTCGTTCGGATGGGACGAAAAACTGCAGTCCCGTTTACACCTGGACGTGCATGTAACAGAACCGTGGGCAGTCGGGATTCGATATAAGAGTTAGCCGCAGCCCCGCTGTCCGAACACAGTATCATACTGTTAAACTTTACTTCATTTTGTTTCACGTTCCTTGTTGCTGTATTTAGATTCAGGCATGCATTGTTGCTTTATTTACATTAGATCAGAGTTAAAGCATAAATTGTTGCTGAATTTGAATTCAAGCATACCTCGTAGTTAAATTTGTATTCAAGTATACATTGCAGATGAATTTGAATTGACGCATAATAGATAAATTTAAATTCAAGCATACCTTGTTGCTGAGTGAAAAAATCATTCTGATACATTCTGTAAACCTGTGCATGGGCTTTAATCATGTTATGAACAGATAAATACATGTTGTCACTGTGTGATATTTCACCAGGATACAGCAGACCATCTTCATGACAATGTAAACCAACCACAAACGGCTCAAAAATAGTTAACCATAACTTTACCTGAATTCAAATACAATTTCATTTTCGAATTACAATTTGCTTAGGAGCAGTGTCAATTTGGACTCCGAATAGAAACGTCATTGTGTACAAATGACATGAAGTTTTACGTCCTATTTCAACTGTCATCAGATTCCAACTGTCAGGTGGTCTTTTACACCCATGCCAAAAATTACGCTGGTAGATCTTAGCTTTGCGTCTCATCCAATGGACCAGACGCCACTGAGAAGAGAGACCCAGACTTGGCAATCTCGAAGAACTTACTCGGACAGGACTGGTATCGAATCCGATCTAACCAATTTAGCTAATAACTGTATGAACACATTTCATGGCCTTGGAGTAATCCAAACATATAAATCCGAAATTAAGTTCAATCTCATTTCATTTGTACGTACCCTGTCACATTAGGACACTTCAAAACTACATGTTTTACAATTTTTAAAAGTTAACAGTTTGCTGATAAACTGTGCATTGACAAATTTAAATATAATAAATTATTAGTGAACTCCAACAAAACAATTTATTAGTGAACTTCAACATAACAAACTATTAGAGAACTTCAACATAACAAACTATTAGAGAACTTCAACATAACAAATTATTAGAGAACTTCAACATAACAAACTATAAGAGAACTTCAACAAAACAAATTATTAGAGAATTTCAACATACCAAACTATTAGAGAACTTCAACATAACAAATTATTAGAGAACTTCAACATAACAAATTTTTTAGAGAACTTCAACATAACAAACTATTAGAGAACTTCAACATAACAAACTATTAGAGAACTTCAACATAACAAATTATTAGTGTGAACTTTGACATAACATATTGTCTTCAACAGAATATAAATATAAGCGAACATTAATGTAATATAAAATAATATTAAAAAAGGTCCTACCCTATTTCCAAATAGTCGGAAACAGAATTTAGAGTAAGCTACAAATGCTGCAATAGTTGATTCCACTAACCACCCGCCATGTTTGGCCAGGTTGATTGGCATATCCCAAGAAAATAATGTAACCATTGGTTGTATGTCGGCTTGTAGTAGATCATCAATCACAGAGTTGTAATAATCAACGCCATGTTGATTTACGTCATTGATGTCTCCAGTAGGTAGAATCCTTGACCAAGACAGGCTGAATTTATAATGGTTGGCCTTTCAAAAGAATGAGAACAAAATTAATGCATGGCTGTGCGCGAATGCTGCATTTCGAAATGAAATGAAATGGGGTTAAGTGTGCATGTGCTACGCCCCAACTGAGCTAACGAAAGCCCTAAAGGCCCGCAAACAGTTACTTATATACAAATCAACCTAAACAGGAGCGTTCGAAAAGGAGCGTCCGATGGGTCCACATCCCGCGCCCCTTCTGGCGTAGGGCATATTTTTTCTCTCCTACAATCATCGAAATAATATCTAACAAAGCACCCGATTAGATTTTATTACATACTTCGAGAAGGTATTTGTTGAGTAATAAAACCTTCTGGTAGTTTATCTAGGGCTGGCCGTCCTTACCGCACGGTACAAATAAAACCTTCTAGTAGTTTATCGAGGTTCGGGTGCTTCCGGAGTCCAAAATGGCTGCTTTATATAAATGAGAATTTGGGGGATAACTAACCCGAACACTAAGCCTAACCCTTTTTTAAAGACTGAACTTGGGTCTAATTTAGTTTTTACTTCTCTTAAAAGGGTTAGGGTTAGGGTTCGGGTTAGTATTCCCCTAAAAGCGGCCATTTTGGTATGAGTTCTGGCTTGTTCTGGAATTTGTTGCTTCTAGTGGTGATAATATTTGTACAGTGCGGTAAGGACGGCCAGCCCTCGATAAACTACTAGAAGGTTTTATTACTCAACAAATACCTTCTCGAAGTATGTAATAAAATCTAATCGGTGAACAAAGATACGTGCGAAACATTGCCGCCGTTGTTCTCTCACTCCACTCTTATCATGTACATGCATGTTCCTAAATGGACAGACATTTTGTCTCCGAGTGTCTGATTCTGTACAATTCGCTAGTAGACCCCAAGACCTAACGCCAAACATGCTGTAACGTCAACACCCCACCCCCTTGTCATTCAAATATAGTAACCCGCAACCGAAAAAGTATATCTGCACCTTTGGTGTGTCATCCTCGGTATCCCCAGTGTACTCATTCCGTTCTACTCCACTATACCCTGGGTCAATCCACGATTTCAAATTATCTGCCCTGGCCTTGATTGTAGCTATGTTTAGTTTTTTTTATTGTTGGTACTTAGATGTCAAAACACAAGTTTCCCGAGCTTGTAATTTACGACAAAAGTAATCATGCTGGAAAATTTACAATCCAATTTTTTAAAACAAATATATAGTTTTTGATGTTCGTGTACATTTTGTCTGTGCATATAAAAGTTTAACTATGTGCACAAGGGAAATTGCACGTACACTTTCAAGACCAGGGAGCCGCGATAACTTAGAATCGGGACTTGACTCATTATCTAATAGGTCGAGGGTTCGATCCCGGTGTTAGATAATTGATTTTTAGCATCATTACTCTTCATTTAAAGCAAGAAATTATAGTCTCAGTTTCATATTAAACTCGACGGCATTAAAAATAAAAACCACACGGAAATGACACCTACGTGTTTGAGTTCATGGGGTCTTGAATTATTGCGGAGAGGGAATATAAAAAATACAACTACACTTATGTATAATTGCGAAAGACAAACTGATAGTTATCAGGTTCATATATAGGGTTTTAATCTCTGATTGTTTACATATTTCACAATAATTTATCTATCACCTAGGGATCAAAAAAATGGTTCAGTTTGTATGTACGGAGATAAGATAACGAATTTCAATATTTGCAATAATTCGTAAATCAACAATAAGTTACGACACATCGACTGTCTGCCTCCGTATGGACTAAGACTACTAATTATTTCCTCTTATTTCATGGACGAATGTAGTGCGATTTGTTAAAAAGACATTATTTCCCTTAATTTTTTTCTCCCCCCTTCTGGAACTTTTGGGTTGAATTTTTGGTCTAGAATTGGAGAAAAGGGATCAGATTTGCAATTTCGTAGTAGTTTTGGGTAATACTAATGATATTGCAGTGTTACCTACACACAAATTAGGTCATTCATTTCGGGACTAACGTGTGCTTGATTTTCTTTTTATTTCAGTAATTGCTTTGAGCGTAGAGGTCTTTAGCAGTGGGAGAAAACCATATGACCCGTAGAAAAACCACGAGGTTGAAAAGGTAACCCTACTCCTTGTCACATACTAGCAGGGAACCGAAACCGCATCACTTAACTCAGTAAAAGACATTGTGATCTTTCACGCACGCGTTAAACCATACCGCCCCCGCCCCGCCTCGCCCCGCCTCGCCCCGCCCCCTCAAACAATACCAGTCTGTAAATATCAACGATGTTCCCGATAATATCCTCATTAGACCGATAACGAAAATCGCGTTTTCCTTTATATAGAAGAAGAAAGGGTAATGCGGAAACTGAAGAATCCCCACGGGATTACTTAAGCAGGCGACCCTACTTAGGCGAGATTACTTAAACATACATTATGCAAGAGCTAAATCTGCCAATTGCAGATCTTTCTTTAGGGCTAAAATGTGATCTAAATTATTAATTAGACATTAATTAACTTATCCAGACCATAACTCTCTTTGGCATCGCTAGCCTTCGATATTTACTGGATTAGAACCCGGTTTGCTGCTTCTGATTAAATAAAAAATTGGATAATCGAGACTATGTTATTTATCGTACCGACTTTAGTAATGATGATTGAGACTAGGCCCAAAATTAAATCGCTAAATACTCGGTTTAGGGTGGATCGGTTTGACTGAAATTTTCAGCAAATTCCCTTTACATTAACTAGTTTTTAACTATTTTAGTGAGAACTGCCAGCTCTTTATCTAATTTCCCATAATGTATCTTTAAGCAGGTGACCCTACTCCTCGCCAAATACAAGTGAAGAGTGTGTTAAAAAATATATCATGTAGAAATTCCGAAAGTCCAGGAGTCAGACCTCTGATTGTCAAAATAAATTAAATGAAATGAAATGGGGTTTAACCACCTACTGTTTTGCTCCTAAACTGGGCTAATGAAGACGGGCATACGCCATACGTTGTGCCATGAGGGAAATTTTGCCCGGGCAGCGGCACTACGATCTACTCTTATATCGAATTCCATCTGCCAAGGGATCTTTTACGTGCACGCAAATGTGTACGCGGGACCTCGGTTTTTCGTCTCATCCGCAAGACTAGACAGCTGTCCATGTCAGGGATTGTCAAAATAAGAGATCAATAATATTGAGTACGGCGTCACGTTTTGCTTTGAATGTTTGTGCATGCGGCTTTTGGAACAGTTAACCTATTTATTAGTATTTTATGTCGTCATATGGTATGTTGTTTTATACATCTTACAATATACCTTTATAAGCTTCAAGGCCTCGATATCACCCCGGTATCTATGGTAACTATCAGACGCTACATCCCCATTACAATGATCAAACAAGTGTCCGTGACTTCTAACAAATGTATCCCAAGTACTCATGCCCTTACCTGATAATATAAAAGAAAACAATATTGTTTGTACAGACGAGGCTTGTGTTAGATAATAAAAGGCGAATCAGAGAGAGAGAGAGAGATTAACATCCACTCGACACAAACTAGGTCATTTCGTGACTAACATTATGGTTCAATCTTATTCAATAATTCGCTTGCGCGTAACGGTCTTTAGTAGTGGGAGGGAACCGGAGGACCCGGATAAAACCCACGAGTTTAGAAAGGCGACCCTACACCTTGTCACGTACAGCTTGGGAATCGGAACCACGTCAGTTGAACTTTCTCGGCCAATGCAGGGATCGAACAGCTGTCCTCCAGGCTAGCGAGCCGGCGTCTTACCCACTTAACCACCGTGGCTCCCTGATTCAGAACAGTAGTATGTTAGACCACATGATCATTTCATACATGACCGCTGTTACTAATTATAGCTTAATGGAGCAGAAACTACTTGTCAGAAATTGACCCATAAGTGTTCTAATAAGAGTAAATGAAAATTACCATCAGCAACAGAACCCCCTTCCACCATATAATTTTCTGTGGCAGCACCCCATAAAAACTTGTCAGGAAAACGACCATATAATAGTCCATCTTTAGTTACATTGTCCGCCATTTTGTCCATGTACTGCACCTCTGTATAATACATGATTACATATTATCAATTAAACGCCTATCGGTAAAATAACTAAAGGCTGGTTCACACTTCAGATTGTGTGACGTTGGTCGATTCTTAGAGAGAGAGAGAGAGAGAGAGAGAGAGATGGGATTTAACGTCCACTCCACACAAACCAGGTCATTTCGGGCTTAACATATGGTTTAATTTTATTTCTAGAATTCACATGCGCGTAGGGGGTCTTTAGCAGTGAGAGGAAACCGGAGGACCCGAAGAAAACCGACGAGGTTGGACAGGCGACCCCCTCTCTCTCTCCCTCTCTCTCTCTCTCTCACTCTCTCTCTCTCCATTTTATTTTATTATAAATTGTGTGCCCGGATCTGACTGGGGTATCGTGTGCATGCAATGTTGACATAAGAATGTACAAACAAAAATCATTATTAGTTTGCAATATAGCTTACGTATATAAAATGTTCAAACTGGAAAGAGCGGGGATGGATGGCTGAATGGTTAGCGTGCGCGCGCTGTATCATAAAGTCGTACGTAACTAACGTACGAAAATTAATTGGTGGCTAGCTTTTTTTTCGCACGTATACAGTGAATGGCCATTTTGCTCAGTAATCCCAGCCAGAATTTGGCTATTTTCTAAATTAAAATATTTGTTTTAGAACTGAAATAAATTAACTATTAGTCAATCCCAACGCTAAAAACATCAACAGAATTGATTGTGTATATCTGAAATAGACACGACCTACGCACAAAATAGTGCCAAGATGGCAGCTACCACTTGCAGACGCTGTCATTGAAGACGACGTCAATTCTATGAGTTGTAGTGTTATTTTTGTGAAAAATCATTGGAAGAAGAGAGAACATATTGGGACTGGACGAATTATATAGTCTTTATGGGTGCAAAGGAAACAATGCTGAAGATAAACCTATTGTTTACAATTTAACGTGTTGTTGACCTCATGACTCATTGACGTCAATGTCATGACCAGTGATGTGTAGATCACGTGATATAGATATCATGGCTATTTGACTGTGTCTGAGATACTTCTCCGCAGGTTGCGTGTCTCAGATGTTCAGAATGTCATAAAGTCTGTCATTGAGACGACTGGCGTGGTTTCGAATCCCCGGTTGTACGTGACAAGGAGTAGGGTCGCCTGTCCAACCTCGTGGGTTTTCTCCGGGTCCTCCGGTTTCCTCCCACTGCTAAAGACCCCTATGCGCAAGCGAATTATTGAAATAAAGTTGAACCATGTGTTAGTCCCGAGGTGACATAGTTTGTGTCGAGTGGACGTTAAACCCCATTTCTCTCTTTCTCTCTCAAACAGGAAAGCAAAAACAAAAATCAATAATAATGTCTCATTTGGTCTTCCATAGAATAGTACTTGGCTCCATTCTCACTGAACAACATTTAAGCATGCGACACGACAAATCGAGAATGTGCTCCGTCCAGTAAACAACTTACAATAGTTAAAGTCGAGACAACCAGGTACAACAAATACAATAAAACCGGTATCTTACTATCCTAGTGAAAAGGGAAAAATACACAAACACACCTTTCTCTGCAGCTATTCTTAGTAACGACCTATATCCTGCTCTTATCACTTGACTTGTAAATATCACGTGACTTGTAAATATGTGTCGCAATAACTGATCAACAAATGCCGGGTGTAAACGAGTCACGAACCATTGTACAGACGAATCTCAAAGTAACATGAAGTGTTTCTCTTTCATTTTCTTATTTATTTGTTCATGCCGGGTATCTGGTGTGGATATCAATGGCTATTTGGATTATTATGTCTCCGGTGAATTCCCCAGTGGATTTAAGTGGGGAGCAGCGTCGTCGGCTTATCAGATAGAAGGCGGGTACAGAGCAGACGGTGAGTTTTACGGATGTTTTCATTATTAAACTACTTTAGTTCATTGTGTATGGAAAGCCATTCACGCAAAACATTTTCCCGATATCAGCTGGTCTTCTATACACGTCTTTATATTTTGGCGGATTTAGTTAACCATGTTAAGTAAAGGGATGGTGTGTGTAAAATTGCGTAGTTTATACATTAGTTGGAGAGGGGGCATTCATTTTAAAAATGTGATATAAATTACACAAACAACGCAGGAATGTCGGTTGAACTCGCAAATTATTTTAATAATTTGCGAGTTCAACCGACATTCCTGCGTGAAACAGCTATGGAATTCAATATGTGTTTATCTCCTATAGGCATAAGGCCTGTCATTGAGTCAACTGGCGTGGTTTCGAATCCCCGGTTGTACGTGACAAGGAGTGGGGTCGCCTGTCCAACCTCGTGGGTTTTCTCCGGTTCCTCCGGTTTCCTTCCACTGCTAAAGACCCCTACGCACAAGCGAATTATTAAAAAATATAATTAAATCATACGTTAGTCCCGAAATAACATAGTTTGTGTCGAGTGGACGTTTAACCCCATTTCTCTCTCTCACTCTGTCTCATATAGGAAATATTTAATAACGTTTTAATTATTTTTGTTCGTATCCTTCAGGATATTTTTAACAATATTGTTTTGATAAAAGCTAATACGTTTCGTCTCCTTTATTGATATTTTTCCGACGTTGTTTCCCCTTGTCAGTGATGCAGGACGGAGGGCTTGACAAGGACAGCTGTTTAGTCGTTCGGATGGGACGAAAAACCGAGGTCCCGTGTACTCATTGGCGTGCACGTAAAAGATCCCTTGGCAGTTGAAATTCGATATAAGAGTAGGCCATAGTTGCCGCTGCTGCCCGGGGAAAATTTCGCTCATAGCACACTGTATGGCATATGCCCGTCTTCATTAACACGGTCGGAGCAGAACAGCAGGACGTTAAACCCCATTTCATTTCATTTCCTTCAGGAAAGGACATTTTGCCCGGACAGCGGCACCACGGCCTACTCTTATATCGAATTCCAACTGTCAAGGGATCCTTTACGTGTACACTAATGTGTACACGTGACCTCGATTTTTCGTCCCATCCGAACGACTAGACATCTAATAATCAGATAAAGATAAAGGAAATTAATACGAAATACGAAAGATCAATCACTCAAGCAAATCAGGAAATCGTTTTAGAGAGAGGGGGAGAAATGCGATTTAACGTCCACTCGAAACAAACTAGGTAATTTCGGGACTAACATATGGTTTAATTTTATTTCAATAATTCGCTTGCGCGTAGGGGTCTTTAGCAGTGGGAGGAAACCGGAGGACCCGGAGAAAACCCACGAGGTTGGACAGGCGACCCTACTCCTTGTCACGTACAACCGGGGATTCGAAACCACACCAGTTGACTCAATGACAGACTTTATGATACAGCGCGCACACGCTAACTATTCAGTCATCCAACCCCCTGGAAATCGTTTTAATTTTAACCGATAAAACACTGCATCACAAAATAAGTGGTCTTGTCGGGATGGTCACGCCCGTCCCCATTTCTGGAACGTTCTAGAATCCTATGGCCCTTCAGTCAACCGTAATATTTATAACATACAGCATCCGGGACAATTCGAATAATCATTGAATATATTGAATGAATTTAAGATTACACTTAAAAGCTAAGGATTGGCATGTCTTTAATAAAATAGATTGCGTCTTTCAATAAATGTCTAATATCTTGTCACTAATCTTATCTTTTATTTAGTAGAGAGAGAGAGAAATGGGGTCATTTCGGGACTAACACATGGTTCAATGGAGGAGGATTTTAACATTTTAAGGCCTGTCATTAAATCAAGTGACGTGGTCGCGATCCCAACTTTTTTACGTGACAAGAAGTAGGGTCGCCTGCCCAACCTGGCGGATATTCTCTAGGTCATTCGTTATTGACTACAGTGTTTGCACATGACAAGTATGTAAAGCGATTGCGACATCCTAACGGTCGATACCAACATCAATTATTGTATCGTAGGATACATGTTTGAATAGGTTTTGCCACGCCCTTACGGTTATTTCTGCAGTGTGACCATTGGCCAACAGAGAATATTTGAATAGTTGTGGAAATATGTTTGATATTTTAAATATCTATTAATGGCCTGGGTCGTTGTACCATTAGGTATAGCTATCGACCTAGTGCGTCCTGTAATAATAACGTAATACAAATACGATTGGTTATGTTAGGTCGTCCTGTCGTATTTACTCACCTGAATAATATACCTGTACTTCGTTAAAGGTGCATACGCCAGGTATTTTGGCTTCAGTTGTCATAAAAACTATTATGTTGACAGACATTGATTGACATGCCAAATTAATACTCAAAACCATCGGATGACAGAATGATGGTATATGGGGTGTGCATATTGTATTCGAGAGAGATGGGATTTAACATCCACTTGACACAAACTAGGTCATTTTGGGACTTACATATGGTTCTATTTTATTTCAATAATTTAATTACGCGTAGGGGTATTTAGTAGTGGGAGGAAACCGGAGGACCCGGAGAAAACCCACGAAGTTGGACAGGCAACCCTACGCCTTGTCACATACAACCGGGGAATCGAAACCATGCCAGTTGACTTATTGACAGACCTTATGATACAACGCTCAAGCGCTAACCATTTGACCCCCACCCCTCCTTTAGGTAAAGGGGACATATTATGTTATAATTGTATAATCAACTTTTGTTTAAACTATGTATGTTGTCCTTGCTGGATGAAATGATACAATAAAATCTTATCTTATCCTATATCGAATGTATATATCGTATATATTGCCTTCTAAGTAAAGGAGGGGGTATATGGGATGTGTACATTGTATATATTGCTGTGTGTTCTAAGTAACGAAGAATAGAGTATATGCCATTTATTATAGTCTTTTTAAACAAATATTAAAATATTTATATATTGTTTATTCTAAGTAAAGGAGAGTGTATATGCGATTTATATATTGTTTAATAATTGTTTATTCTAAGTAAAGGGGAGAGTATATGCGATGTATATATTTTTTAATATATTGTTTTCTAGGTAAAGGAGAGAGTATATGGGATGTATTTGTACAACAACCGGGTAATATTAAAGATGGTAATACGGGCGATACAGCATGTGACAGTTACCACAAATATAAAAAGGATGTGCACTTATTATACAAAATGGGGGTAAATATTGTAATATATTAATATGTAGTAATAAAGGATTACAATCATTTTACAAGATAGGGGAGGGGGGTATTACACTATAATAACTTTATGTGTAGTGATAAAGGATTACAATTATTATACAAGATGGTGCGGGGTGAGGGTATTACAATATAATCAGTTTATATGTAGTAATAAGTCATATAAATTTACCACACAACACGAGGGAGAGGTGGCGGGGGCGCGTAAATATTACAATATATTCAGTTTATATGTAGCAATAAAGGACGGCGAATTATTATACAAGATGGGGAGGGGGTTCATGCTATAATATAATAACTATATATGTAGCAATAAAGAACGGCGAATTATTATACAAGATGGGGGGGGGGGGTAAATACTATAATATAATAACTTTATATGTAGCAATAAAGGACGGCGAATTATTATACAAGATGGGGGGGGGTAAATACTATAATATAATAACTTTATATGTAGCAATATAGACCCCCAGCGCCCAATTATTATACAAGATGGGGGGGGGGGGGTAAATACTATAATATAATAACTTTATATGTAGCAATATAGACCCCCAGCGCCCAATATCTTGTGATACATTCCTGTCTGATTTGCAATAATATGCAAGTTGGGTATTGTTGAATTGTAACAGATGCTTATTTTGTGGGATTATTAAAGTATACAATGTTGATACAGTGAAATTCAATACATTTTACACCTAATCTTGTGTTTGAGCGACCCAACCCATATCACTCGTAACACACTTGACTTATTTATCTCTGTAATATCTCAACAGACAACTATCATTTCAATACCAATCTGATTAAAACACAAATCTTATTTCGTTTCGATTTTTATAATTCAAAATTTCGTTTTACTTGTCTTCACAACACTATTATATGGAAGAGATGTTATATAATGCGCGTTCTAGTTGAATTGAGGAATTAGCATATGCATCGGTCTGCTACTGCGAGTTTTTGGCGTGGTCTACACGGAACTGTGGGTAAGTCACTAGATACGTCAACGCTGACGTCATAGAGCCAAAAACCGCTCGTATGACTCTGATGCGACCTCCCACTACAAATGGTCAGATCTTCATGTAGTAGAGGCCATCGAAAGTATAAAAAAACAAACGAAACGGAATATAGATCTGTATTTTAATGAGGATATTTCAACACCGGCATGTTAAATAAATAGATCAAGCGAATTATCAATCCGATGACAGTGCTCAACACTTATGTACAATAAATCCCCTTCTCAATCTATTTCAGGCGAATGTCTACAAGTTTTCTATCTCGTGGCCGAGAATTATGCCAACAGGTGGAAACCCTACGAATGATAAAGGTATCGCCTATTATAAAGATCTGATCAGTGAATTAAAGAAGTACAATATAACTCCTATGGTAACATTATATCATAATGATCTACCGGAACAATTACAACGACATGGTGGCTGGTTGAACGAAGCTACAGTGACGTCATTTGTTGAGTATGCTCGAACATGCTTCAGAGAATTTGGAAACGAAGTAAGTTAAAGGGCTATAAATTCTTCTGACTGTCAGATAGTTCAAGTTGATTTGGGTCCTGGATAAGTGTCTACTTGACGTTCAATAACCTCAGTGCTCTCTCACAACCGTTCGTCATTAGAACAACACATACGAAACACTCCTTACGTCAGTCGAGGAGACAAACTGCCTTTAGGGATCCCGTCACAGCATATTTCTAGTAGGATTGGGTTTCTCTATTTTCCATATATACCAATACATGAGTCCATACTCTTATTGCAAATAACTACCCGATAAATACTTTTGAGGGAACACTCGTTTAGCAGCATTGCGCCTCAATAGTGAACACAATCTTAAAGGAAAACACCAGAGCCATATATAAAGATAGTCTGGACAACTATGGTCTCAATTGGGATTGGATAACAACTGGCCTTTTTGTCTAATCTTCTTGCTTCGGTTCTTGTGTCACGCTCTTACAAGAAAATACCCCAAGCTAGATAATTCAAGTACCTTTGACATGCTGCTTGGCGCCGATGACGTGATGGAATGAAATGGGGTTTAACGTCCTACTGTTCTGGGCTAATGAAGACGGGCATACGCCATACAGTGTGCTAGGAGGGAAATTTTGTCCTGACAGTGACACTAAGGCCTACTCATATCGAATTCCAACTGTCAATTGATCTTTTACGTGCACGCCAATGTGTACACGGGACCACGGTTTTTCGTCCCATCCGAACGACTAGACAATTGCCCTTGTTGTATTGGCTTCTCACACATGTTGATTTCACATGCATCTTATCTCTGAACCCGATTTATTGTTTTAGGTGAAACACTGGATTACTATAAACGACCCAAGAAAAGAAGCAATAGAAGGATATAGCACTGCTAAAATAGCCCCTGGTTTATGGGGTCCGGGAACCAATGCGTATATTGTCGGTCACAATCTTATCAAAGCTCACACAGACGCCTACCACGTTTATAAAAATGAATTTAAAAATACACAAGGAGGTAAGGAAAATAATATATGTAAATATTTTAAATTAGAACAAAACTACATTTGTGTATACAAATACACAAGGAGGGAAGGAAATAATTAGATTTAAATATTTTAAATTAGAACAAAACTACATTGTTAATAGGGAAAAAAAGATAATCCTCGGCGTTTAACCAAGTCGTATTAAATGTTTTCAAATAGAGTAATCTAGTCAGCATTGATAATACAAATAAATGGGTCGTATGAAATAGTTAAATATGGTCAGAAAATATCTACACCGTAGATAATAAAAATATATAGCTCGTATCAAATAGTTTGATATAGTCAGCATATATCTACACCGTTGATAATACAAGTAAATGGCTCGTATGAAATAGTTTAATATGGTCTGCAATCAATCTACACCGATGATAATATAAATAGATGGCTTGTATCAAATAGTTTAATATAGTCAGCACACGTCTAAACCGATAAAAAAATATGCCGCAGGAAGTTTATTATCAATCTGATTAAAACACAGATCCTATTTCGTTTCGTTTTTTATTGTTCAAAATTTCGTTTACTTGTGTTCACAACACTAGGATTTGGAAGAGTTGTTAAATAAGCCACCTTCTGGTTGATGTGAGGGACTAGCCAATGAAACGGTCTGTTACGGCGAGTTCTTGGCATGCGGCGCGAGGACTGCGGGTAAACCACTAGAAACACTGGTTGATTAATCAATGTCTGACGTCATAGGGTTAAAGCCGCTCGTATGACCTTTGATGCCACCTTCCACTACAAGTGGACAGACCTACATGCAGTAGATGCCATCGAAAGTATAAAAAAACGAAACGAAATATAGATCTGTGTTTTAATTAGATTGGTTTATTACCTTAAGCTATCAAATTCAGTGTTGTAAGTTGGAAAATCATTGATAGTTTGCCTGGATACCAAGGTATTATGATACACTCTGTTGTCCAGTATTTCTATAACGGTGATATATACAATGGCTGCTGGTTGATAAAAATAATAATTCTTATGTTTAACCAGGTCATTGTTCGTTTACTATAGTCAGCAAAAATCTACAGCCATTGATAAGGTTTCGATTATATATTTTAACGTTTAATTATTTTTCACATAGCTAGCGATGGCATCGAGAGTTGATTATTGTCTGGTTAAGTTAATTAATGTCTAATTAATAATTTAGATAATATTTCAGACCTAAAGAAAGATCTGCTATAGGCAGATTTAGCTCTTGCATAATGTATGTTTAATCTAGTCAGCAACAATCTAATCCATTGATAATAGAATATATAGCCCGCGGGTTTATCTAACTCATTGTTCGTATAAAATATATTACACTATTCTAAACTAGTCAGCGGAATGTTGCAAAATACTGAACTGAAATGAACCATTTTAGCGTGATGTTCATTATCCACCATACTAGTTATTTACTACCATTTATTGTCCACTGTCTTCCAGTATTTTATTGACGTCCTGTAATTATAAACAACCCATATTACACACTGTTTACCAGTATTTCTATAATAACCCTTTATTGCCCACTGTCGTCCAGTATTTCTATAATAACCCTTTATTGTCCACTGTCGTCCAGTATTTTTTATAACAACCCTTGTTAAACACTGCTATCCAGTATTTCTATAATAACCCGCTATTGCCGACTGTGTGCAGTATTTCTATAATAACCCCCTATTCTCCCACCAGTCCAGTATTTCTACAATAACACTATACGTATAATATAGGACTTGATGGCATGAAACTTTCCACAGTAACCCTTACGACATTTCCCATCCTCAACGGCCCCATCCACTCCCGGAATCAACTTTCATCAAGACTTCTAAACGAGTGTTTTGACTCTTTTTTTTTCAGGAGAAGTAGGAATCACCTTGTCTACTGATACGTACGAAGCGATAGAACCAAGTGTCTCATTACACGTAGATGCCGAAAACAGGGCGATGGAGTTTCACTTCGGGTGGTTTGCCCAACCCATATTTGGAAATGGGAATTACCCCACCACCATGAAGCAATTAATAGGCGAAAAAACCCATGACTATAAACCCGGTTCGTCGTCAAGGTTACCGTCATTCACAACAGCTGAGATCCAGAAAAATAAAGGTAGGCCATTGATTTCGCTGGGTTTCTTATGTAATGTCAGGGATGTTCTCAAATTGTTAAATAACCATGCACCAATGTTTGTTTAAAATTTAGATGCGTAAAAGCAGGAATCAGAGAAATCTACAGAAAGAAACTGGAAATGGATATAACGCGGCGGCAAAACCACAATAAATTTAAAAAATCAACATAAATGTAGTCTGACTGAAATCTTCTTCAGTATTTCTATCGGTTAAATCCGAGGATTCTAGAATGACGACTTGATCCTCACTCTTACTTGGCCATTTATTCCTGAAAGCGGTAAACAAATTGTCTGAATCCAAATGGATGCTTAAATAATAGTCCTCCCAGAATTTATGTATGCGTTATCAATTAATTTGTATCAATGTACGTATAGAATAAAACCGCGCACGCTCTCAGTCCTGGTGCCTGGTAGATCAGACGGAGCTACAGATGCCCAAATATGGTATAATTTTTCCAAACAGAGAACATACTTTTAGACTGGAAAGGGTCATGTACATTACAAACAGTATATTTAAAAATTGTCTAATTATTCAAATTTAAAAACGTCCAGTCGATACAAATTAGGTCATTTCGGGACTAACACATGGTTCAATCTTATTTCAATAATTCGCTTGCACGTAGGGGTCTTTAGCAGTGGGGGGAAAACGGAGGACCCGGAAAAAAACCACGAGGTTGGACCATTTTTACAAAATATAATAATCATTAATTTTCTTCTTCTGCAGGAGCTGCTGATTTTCTTGATGTTTATTATGATCGAACTCAACACGTTTCTTCCATGGTCAGATATTGTTACCCGCCATCATATGCGTGTGATAGTGACACTGAAATAGGAACAGCCATTCGCAATTATCCATACTGGGGGTAATATAAACATGTTATATTAATCTTTGAAATTATGTAAAAATGTATTTAATAGCCGTAGGTAATATAACGAATGGTGTTTGGAGATTCCAGGGTCTCCAGATTCAACAATCAACTCGTTATGGGTTGATGTTTGAAAATTCTAGATTTTCTGGATTTTTATAATTCAAAATTCAAATTCAAATTTTCGAGACTGATGCTTGGAAATCCAGACTTCTAGATTGTATCTTGAATAACCCCGACTTTACTTTCTGGATTGATGTCTGAATATTCCAGATTTTCTTGACTGGTGTTAAGACAACCCTGATTGTCGACGTTTGGACACTTGCACATATTCTATTGATATTTACACAACCCAGATTATCTGAATTGATGTTTAGACAATCCATGGATGAATGGACATTCCATAATATTTGTATTGATATTTGGATAATCCAGACGTCCTGTATGCCTGTTTGGACTTTCCAGGCTATATGTATGGATGTATGGACATTCCATACTATTTGTATTAACATTTAGATAATCCAGACTTCCTGTATGGACTTTCCAGGCTATATGTATGGATGAATGGACATTACATTCTTTTTGACATCTGTATGGAAATGAAATGATTTGGGGTTTAATGTTCTGCTCCTATACTGAGCTAATGAAGACGGCCATACGCCATATAGTGTGCTATGAGGGAAATTTGGCCATGGCAGCTGCACTATGGCCCACTCTTATATCGAATTCTAACTGCCAAGGGATCTTTTACGTGCACGCCAATGTATACACTGGGCCTCGGTGTTTCGTCCCATCCGAACGACTTGACAGCTGTCCTTGTCAGGTCCTCCATCTTGCACCACTTGCAAGGGGAAACCATGTCGGAAAATCCCGATGAACTTTTATCAGCCAATGTACGGATCGAACACACAACCCCCAGATTAGTGAGCCCAGCGTCTTACCCACTTAGCTACCGTGGCTCCGATATCTGTATGGACTTTCCATGCTACATGTATTGATGATTGAACATTCCACACTATCTTTATTGACATTTGGACTTTCCAGACTTCCTGTATATTCCAGACGACCTATATTTTATTTGAACAATCAAGTATGTTTTTCTTTAGATAATATTAATGTATTATCAATCGTCATCAATTTAAGAGTTTTCATTTTATACATATTTTTAGGTCAATTGTTATTAGTCAATTGCGAGATACGGTAAAATGGATAACGGAACAGTATACTGTTACTGGATTATATATAACACAAGAACGTTATTTAACTAGATCTGGTACAGATCGAGACAACCGTCGACGACACAGTATTAAAAGAAATATCAACCAGGCTTTACAAGGTAAGCACAATAATAGTTCCTTTGTGCTCATGTCTCTCTCTCTCTCTCTCTCTCTCTCTCTCTCTACGTTCCAGCTGTTGAGCGATGCGTTACGATAGGATGGTCAGTATTGAGTCCACGATTTGGTACGTGCAGTTACGTTCGGATACGTTTCGACGCGATGAACGCGATTGCAATGACTGACCTCAGTATATGATAAAACCTGGTAGGAGCACCACGATTACGCCACAATTAAAATCACGGTTTCAATCGCAGCACGAATCGTGATGGTGGGAACAAAGCATTATAGCTCGATGATAACAATAATAGCTAACGTAACGACGAACCATTGGCAGTTGGCGCTAAAATATCAAATTCCTTACGACTTAATTCAACTAATATGTTCTCAGATTGGTTATTTAACATTTAATTAAGAAAACAAAATCAAAATACCAACGCCATATACTATTGCATTTAATTCAATCTGATTAAAACACAGATCCTATTTCGTTTCGGTTTTTTTATAGATCAAAATGTCGTTATACTTGTCTTTACTACACTAGGATCTGGAAGAGTTGTTATATAACCTGCGTTCTAGTTGAAGTCGGGGATTAGCCAATGAAACGGTCTGTTACGGCGAGTTCTTGGCGTTTGATGCATGGAACTGTGGGTACACCATTAGAAACGTCAACGCTGATTTGTTAATCAAATGTCTGACGTCATAGGGTCAAAAGCCTCTCGTATGACCCCTGACGCGCACCTTCCAGTACAATTGGTCAGATCTTCATGTAGTGTAGGCCATCTAAAGTATAAAAAAAACGAAACGAAATATAGATCTGTATATTAATCAGATTGTATTTAATTGGATTTAAAACAGGTCTATAATTACATTTATGGAGATAGCAAAATGGCGGCGGTCTTTTTTTGTTTTTTTGCCTGTTGTTTTTTTACATAGCGAGCAGTATAGATCGATGGAATTTCAGTTCCACATAACATTGTATATATGTCATGCGTACATTATTTATACTACTTGAAATTTTGGACCCGCGTGACGGATTTCATTGCAAAGCACGAACGAGTGTCTGTATTTTAAGTTGTTTAATGGTCTCGAGATTAAGACAGTGTTACTCTCTCTCTCTCTCTCTCTCTCTCTCGACCATTAAACCACACAGTCAAGATGTACATAGACATCGCTAGCCTGGAGGTCGGGTGTTCGATCCCTGTATTGACCGAGAGAGTTCTTCGACATTTTCCGACGTGGTTTCCCCTTGTCAGTGGTGCAGAACAAAGGGCCTGACAAGGACAGCTGTCTAGTCCTTCGGATGAGACGAAAAACCGAGGTCCCGTGTATACATTGGAATGCACGTAAAATATCCCTTTGCAGTTGGAATTCGATATAAGAGTAGCTAGGCCATTGTACCGCTGCGTGGGCCAAGATTAACTCATAGCACACTGTATGACGTATGCCCGTCTTCATTAGCCCAGTATAGGAGCAGAACAGTAGGATGTTAAACCTTGTTCCATTTCATTTCATTTCATTTCACTTATTTAATGCAAGTTATAATTACAGTGGTCTATCGTTGTTTAATTTTTCAGCTATTAAGTTAGATAACAGCACCATAAAAGGATATATGTATGGATCATTGATGGATGGATTTGAAGACAGTGATGGCTACACATTGAAATCTGGTTTACACAACGTGGATTTTGAAAATGAACAAGTAAGAACTCAAAGAGATTCTGCGGATTATTTGAGCAGAGTCAGTAAAAATAATGCCTTATTAAAAGGTTATCCTGGACCAGTCGGAAGTGAATCGGGTGTTGTTCCCCACCTCAGTCAGAATGATATTTATTATGGTCAATTCCCAGATGACTTTAAATGGGGAGTCGGAAGTGCAGCTTACCAGATAGATGGAACACCTAGTGGTAAGTACAGTTAAACTTAGTAATCCTCAGCTTAGTATTCAGGAAAACCCAATTTATATGGTACCCAGCTTCGTCCCCTAATCTAATATTGTGCAAATTGGAAAGGCTCCATCTGCGGGAGCACCTTCAAACAACAACAACGTGTTCGCTGATTTATTCAGCAGATATCTATTCCGCAGATATCATAGTAGACAGCATGTCTTGCATTATTGCTGGCCCATTGGTCCATGTATGATCTTTGGTACCTCGGGCCCATGCATCTTCCTCCAGACCACGGATTTAGGTTCGTACAACACCAATTAACATCACAGCTTATGTTTGTGTCAACATCTTAACGAATTGTGGATAATGTCTTTTCGTTGGTATTCCAACCTCATTTTTCCCGATAATGGTGACAATTTTATTAATAAACCAAAAAAAACCACCATATATGATTTTTTATTTTTTAGGACGAGATAAAAGTATCCACACAGATACTTCAGCCAGCACTAGTGACCAGTATTACAAACAAGATGTACAACTTATAAAACGTTTAGGGGTAAATATTTTTATATTTGAATAAAACACCAATACATATCGCAATGTTTGGGAGAAGGTGTCATATTTCTTAGATTTCGTTGAGGCTAGTGCTTCTTCAGTAGGCTTCGCGGCGCTCATTGCTCTTGGATTATATTTTATGATGCTCAGTGCTCACGGTTCGTACAGTAGATTGCATAATGCTTACTGTGGCGTGTTGCTCTGTCCTCGTTGGGTACATTTCGTGGTGCTTACGGCTTCTAGAGTAGATGTCGTGTTGGTCAGCCCTCGTGCAGTTGATTGCGTGGTGCCTGCTGCTTCTGAAGTAGTGGTGGTGCCTGCTGCCATTGGAGTAGAAGTCGTGTTGCCCTGTCCTAGTGCAGTAGCTTCAGTGATGCTAACTCCCCTAGATATGGATTTAATTACGCACAGAGCTCATGGAGAGGATTAAATGGTGAACGAGTGGTAGATTGCTATTGTATTGAAAGGCCCCTTGGTGACCAAGCAAAGCATTTTATTGAAAGACCCAGCAGAGACTAAGAAATTCATTTTACTGGATGAATCTAATCGCAGTTTGATCAGGATGCCATTACTTGAATCTTATTTTATATTCCTTCAGCTTAAACAATATCGGTTTTCTATCGCCTGGTCAAGAATCTTTCCTGATGGAACCAACGCATCTTTTAGTGAGACAGGGATGGAATATTACAGAAATTTAACGACAGAGCTCATCAATAATCAGATCGAACCAATGGTCACACTCTATCATTGGGACATGCCCCAAGCTCTTAAAGACCAAGGAAGCTGGTTAACAGATGCTACTGTAGACAGGTTCATTGAGTACGCTGATATATGTTTCAAACGACTTGGAGATAAGGTAGATAAATAGTCTTATTTATTTATTTGTTTTTATTCCACAACAATTAATCTTTGTTAGTGTTATTGAATAACTCCTCCCCAGACATTAATCAGAAATAACAGCATTTATTTTGTCCGTTTAGCTATCTGTATCATTGTGGTATACAATATTCCATATATTGTATGTTTCAGGTTAACCACTGGGTTACGTTTTACGATCCTCTGGCTATATCTACATTGTATGTTTCAGGTTAACCACTGGGTTACGTTTTACGATCCTCTGGCTATATCTACACATGGTAAATGTATTGTATGTTTCAGGTTAAACACTGGGTTACGTTTTACGATCCTCTGGCTATATCTACAGATGGTAAATGTATTGTATGTTTCAGGTTAACCACTGGGTTACGTTTTACGATCCTCTGGCTATATCTACATTGTATGTTTCAGGTTAACCACTGGGTTACGTTTTACGATCCTCTGGCTATATCTACAGATGGTAAATGGAACACTGGAGACAGTGTTTATGCGGTTGCCAAACAATTGATATTAGCCCACGCTCGTACTTACCGTCATTACAGCCAGAACTACAAAAACAGTCAACTTGGTAAGCATTTGACCAAATACTGATCTATGATGGATGTCAAAACGGAGGGTATTAATCTATATGTATAGCCAGCGATGGGTGTCCAAAATGAGGAAGGGTATCGCTGTAGATTACCTGTATAACTATTGACGGGAAAGGGTATCACTGTAGACTACATATATAACAATTGACGCAGGGTATCATTAATACGAATAGTATGAAGGTCTGTCTTATATGGCAAGAGCTTACCCAATTCCTTTTCATCTGTTTTTTGTTATTGATATTTCATTTGTGGTAATATTATTCTGATTGATTTATTGTCTTATTTAATCTAACACAGGAAACGTAGGCATCTTTCTAAAGTTTTCGTGGGCGGAACCGTATGCAGCAACTGATCGATCGGATATTGATGCAGCTGAACGCTATATTCAGATGACAAGCGGCTGGTTTGCCCATCCTATATATGTTGATGGAGATTATCCAGAAGAAATGAAGTCAGCGCTCCGAGTCAGCTCGATTTTAAGAAACCGTACAGTCTTACCCAACATCACCACAACTGAAAAAAATATTATAAAAGGTAACGAATGAATAGATCAATCAATCAATCAATCAATCAATCAATCAATCAAGCAAGCAAGCAAATATATAATCTTAAATCCATGGATCGTGATTTGCGTTTTGTCAGACAATTTCTAATAGTAGACTCTAAAATTGCTTATTTAATATTTAATTGAGACAAAAATGTGCTAATCTCAACGATATATAAAGTCGATACTTCATTTAAATAAGTTCATGAAAAGACGACGGTGACTTGTTATAATGTAGACTGTTGCTTAATGTCTTTATAAATACTGAAAGAAATTAAATTATGTTTGGACTGTCCTTCAACTGGCGAGCAAGGGCTTCAAATCTGCAATTGCAATTTGATTTAGTCCTATTTGAATTTGACTAATGTCGTGTAGTAATAATTTCCATTTGTATGATTTCAGGCAGTAGTGATTTTCTTGGAGTGATCTATGACACGACAGTGCGTGTAGAACAGACATATACACATGCCACCAACGAAGTCTATATAAAAGACAGACGACTGGTGGTTGCTGAAGTCAAAACGTGGATGGGGTAAGCTGTTATATTGTTAAGCACAATTAGGGATTTATGTTAATTGCTTCGGAGTATATGTATAACAGGCTTAATAACGATCACAGCACCACGAACGATGGAACTGGCGATACAAATCACCATATTTAAAATAACTCACTGTAACCCAGATATCATTTAATCTTGTGTATCTAGCACTAATTTCTTTCACAGTCGTTTAATATCCAATCTTTGTTTAAAAATTCATAAAAAATTCATTAAAAAATTTATTAAAAAATTCATTAAAAAATAAACAACCCAATTGATTAATGATGTATAATGATTAATTTTTGAACAGTGGTCAGGAAATTAAACACTTGTAAATTGAACACTCATTATGAAAATTAATCAGTCAGCTTTAAACTGGACACAAGTAAAAATTAGATGATTTTTGGTGATTTTAAATGATTTTTATAAATTTTTATACGCCCACATTTTCATGTGGACGTATTATGCCGTCGCCCCTGTCCGTCCGTCCGTCCGTCCGTCCACAATTGTTTGTGGACTCTCTACAGGTCACAATTCTTATCCGATTTCGACGAAACTTGAAATATAGGTGTATCCCCAAAAGATCTCGGCTGCTTTCGATATTGGCATGTATCGGATCGAAACTTCATGGATTATGGCCCCTGTTTGTACGAAAAATCACGTTTTTAGCTTGTGGACCCTATAGAGGTCACAATTTTGATCCGATTTTGTTGAAACTTGAAATGTAAGTTTATAATCCAAAGATCTCAGTTCCTTGCGATATTCGCGCATATCGGACAATAACTTCCTGAATTATAACCCCTGATTGTACGAAAAATCACGTTTTTAGCTTGTGGACCCTATAGAAGTCATAATTTTTATCCGATTTAAAAAAACCGTTCTATTATATCACCGTTACACCCTAAGGATGACTCAGTTCGAATTTCGTGAAAATCGGCCCAAAATTGACAGACAAATTGGCTGCCGTTCATTCAGTTCCTTTCGATATTTGCGCATATCGAATTGTAATTTCCTGAATTATGGCCCTTGATTGTAGGAAAAATCACTTTCTTGTTAGCTTGTTCTCTATCCATCTCTCGAAAATGTGGGCGTATCCTGCCTGGCAGCCGCTGGTTAAACAAAGATTTTATATTAAACGAATGTGAAAGAAATTAGTGCTAGACACTCAAGATTAAATGATACCTGGGTTACAATGTTATTAGTTGTATTTATATTTATCTGTGTTGTTATTTTTGAATTTAGAAGTGATGAATCTGGAATAAGAAAGATGTTGAGCCGGGTAAAGTACCTGTATGATAATCCCAGTGTTTATATCACGGACAGCAGCCTGTCGGGTACACATATACCAAGCGATATGAAATCCAGAATAGACTACTACAGAATTTACACAAATAATATCCTTAAAGGTAACTTAATAGTTCGACAATTATATTAAATTGTTTAGCTTGGTTTCAGTTTCAATACTTCTATTGTATATATGGGAGGGGGGGGGGGGGGGTTGGATGGCCGAATGGTTAGTACGTGCAAGCTACGCTGTATCATACGGTCTGTCATTAAGTCAACTGACGGGGTTTCGAATCCCCGGTTGTACTTGATAAGGAGTAGGGTCATCTGTATAATCTAGTGGGTATTCTCCGGGTCCTCCGGTTTCCTCCTACTGCTAAAGACCCCTACGCGCATGCGAATTATTGAAATAAAATTGAACCATGTGTTAGTTCTGAAATGATCTAGTTTGTGTCTAGTGGACGTTAAAGCCCATCTCTCTCTCCCTCTCTCTCTCTCTCTCTCCTCCCCTCTCCCTCTCTCTCTCTCTCTCTCTCTCCCTCTCTCTATTGTATAGTTAAGAGACACATGTATCAATGTGAACCTTTATGGCCGACCCTATATCCGCTTGAATGTATGCTGTTTGTTGAGACGTACAGTCCTTCCAACGGGAAACATGGATATGCTCTGATGTTTGTTCAGACGATGTTGTGGCTGACATTATTAGGACAGGGCAATGGCTGCTTTAGGGAGAACATTTGGTCGGTGTATATAATACAACGGTTTGCCCCCCCGGGGACATCTTGTGTGTGACTTAATTGCAATTTTGTTTATAGATGTCAATGAGTAAATTAGATTTTATATTTTTGCCACTGATCATGATATTTGAGACAATTTGACCTGTTAGTGTTAGTGTACTGGTCAAGTGATGTTGACGACTTGGTTTTGTTGTTTTTATTTCAGCCTTGAATCTGGATGAGTGTAACATTAAAGGGTTCTCTGTCGGATCTTTGTTGGATGGACCGGATGGAAACGGGAATGGTACCAAATCTTATGGTCTGTATCAAGTTGACTATGCTCATCCCCAACGACAGAGAATTGCAAGAGGTACCGCACATTGGTTTTCACTTCTAGCGATGGAGAACGCTTTTACACCTGGTTACAGCCAGCCTGGAGGTTGGGGAATTGCTCCTAAAAATGTTGACAAGTACCTCAATGATAAATTTCCAGAAGAATTTATGTTTGGTGTGGCAACATCGGCTGCGCAGATAGAAGGAGCCTGGGATGTTGACGGTATGTATCAGATAAAGTTTTAAATACGTCTTTCGGGTGTTCTGTACGTTACAAATTACACAAATAGTGAGGCTAAGAATTCTAACGACCTCTGAATCCCAATTTAGTTTATCAATGGTCTAATTGTAAATGTTTTTGAATATTTGATATTTGGTAATGGTGGCTAAGAATTTAACACTCAAGGTACAGATATGCTTATCGATAAATGGTCCAGCTGTGTTAATGTAAGTTTAAACCCCAGTTATCCCCCTTTATAATAATATTTATAGATGGAGGGGGGGGGAGAAATGGGGTTTTAAGTCCACTCGACACAAACTAGGACTAACATATGGTTCAATTTTATTTCAACAATTCGCTTGTGCGTAGGGGTCTTTAGCAGTGGGAGGAAACCGGAGGAAACCCTACTCCTTGAAACGTACAACTGGGGAATCGAAATCACCCTAGTTGACTCAATGACAGACCTAATGATACAACGCGCACACGCTAGCCACCCAACCCCCTATAGGTAAAGGTGTGAGTATAGTTGATAATTTATAATTATGCTATTTAAAGGTAAAGGTGTGAGTGTCGGTTATAATTTATAATTATGCTATTTTTAGGTAAAGTGGGAGCATATGGGATACATTGGTAATATTATATGTTATTTATAGGTAAAGGGGGAGTATATGGGATACATTTGTAATATATGTTATTTACAGGTAAAGGTGTGAGTATAGGTGATAATTTATAATTATGTTATTTACAGGTAAAGGAGCGAGTATATGGGATACATTTGCTAATGCTGGTAAAACCAAAGATAAATCAACACCTCAGATCGCCTGCGATAGTTACCATAAATATAAACAAGATGTAGCAATACTTAAACAATTAGGGGTAAGATTATTATATAATTATCATAACCAACATTATAAGGGGCATGATTATTATATAATTCTAATGAATATAAACAGAAGCAGAGGTCATATGAGCGGCTTTTGACCCTATGACG